AGGGGGGGGGTGATTTAAGTGTAATTTTCCAAAAAGTATATATTTGCTACGTGCACTACGCATATGTAACATTATATCTCCCTAGTTTCATTTGGGGCCTTTATAAGGTTGTACATAACTAAAAAAAACCCGATATCCGCAACAGCATGGTGAAGTTTATAATGAAACTCGAGCGAAATTGCATCACGTCAATCGATCTATGAAAAAAAAATTTCTGAATATATATAAATATATTTATATTTTAAATGCAAAATAATAGCCATGTAAAATAAACCAAAACACTTAATGCGTTTAAAAGTTTTTAATTTGTAACAAATATTGTGAAATTATGTAGCAAAAGTATGTTTGATCATAATACACATTCAAATCACATCAGAAAAGTATTTATTATTAAGAGTCAAAGTCAGAAGGGTGATGAAAGCAAAATGCCTTTCAATTTCAACAAACTATGTATTTACAAAATTTTTGATTTGTATCTAATATTGTGAAATTAAATATGAAACATATATGATTAGAATATACTTTCCTATCACAAAGGTCAAGTCATCATAATTCAATAATAAAAGTTGAAATCTAAAGAATGATTATAATAGGAAAACTAATATAATATATAAGTTCAAACGAAAATTGTGTCAATATGTATTATCAAATATGGTGAAATTTTATTTCACCATATTTGACCACATTATGTTCAGACGCGTGTCTGAACATAATGCACAATCCTATCACAAAATTTTAGATTATTCATTAATAAAAGTTGAAGTCAGAGTGATGGTTAGTATACTAAACCGCCATGCTATTCAAATTTAAACAAATTATGAATTATTATTTTTTTTAATTGGCAGCAGATTTTGTGAAATTATAAATAAGACATATTTATGATTAAAATACCCGTTCCTATCACAAAAAACTAGTTAATATAATAAAAGTGGAAATCTATAAGATATTTTAATAGGCAGATTAATATTCTATATAAATTTAAACAAAAACTGTATCTATATGCATTTAATTTGTACCAGATATTGTGAAATCATCCTTTAGAACGTTAGTGATCATATTACAAATTACTACCACACAATTTTAGATTATTCATTATTAAAAGACAAAGTCATAGTGATGTTTAATTAGGCAAACCGTCATGCTTTTCAAAATTAATCAAAAAATGTGTTTTGAAAATTTTTAATTTGTATTAAATATTTTGATAAGAGACATTTATGATTTAAATACACATTCCTATCGCAAGAGCCAAACATTTTAATATACAAAGTTGAAATCTAAATTTCTTTCCACTATTCGGTTTCTAATCCATTAAATATCTGAATATCTGAAATGATAAACATAATATACGTGGACCGATAAGAGTTTATCTTAAGGAATTTTTAATTTACACTGTACACGCTTGAATTGTGGACCTTTTTTTTAATATTTGGATTCTCTTAAAGTTACTGTTAAATAAAATATGTGTAATGTGCAATACAGATAAATCAGTTAAAAGTAACCTGCAACAGTTAAAAAAAAGTTATTCGTGTTGGATCGGACTGCCTAATAATTTATTCCGGTCGAGTTTAAAAAACAATAATATAAACTCAGAATAAATTCCTTTAAATCGTTCGTTCTATATCGTTTATTTTCGCACGCTATAAAAAAGGTTTGCGATATCCCATTTTAATTTCGAAAAATTCCAGTATAAGTAAAGCGGTCAATCATATTATGGGGAACATAAAAATTGTGGCACGCCGATCGAACACTCGATTTATTTATTTTTATTAAACATTTATTGTAGGTTATAATATTTATTCGGTTGTTGAGGGAACGTAACGCGGAAAATTTGTTTAAACCGATTTGACAACATTAAAATTGTTCATTGTAGTTGTTTACAATTCGCGTGCACATCGAGCAAATTAATATTTTCTGCTTTTTACATTGATTTCTACGCAATTTTGTTCGCTTATTTTTACATTTTGTGTATAGCATCACAAATATTTATCATATATCTTAAGTTTTTCACTGTTTTACAGACGTTTTTCATATATTATTTTTCCTGTTCAGAAAATATCTATTCATTCTTTTTTTTTTTAATTAATGTTTATTTCTTTAACATGGACCGTCACCGTAAGTATTTTTTATTCATTATTGTTTATTAATATCAAACATTTAGGAGAACGCGATATAATGCTTTCCCGCATATCATTGTGGTGTTTATCGCTCGTCCCCGTCTTTCAAACGTATGGCTTACAGAATAACACCGGCAAACTTGAAGTTACGAGCATTATCCATACATCGATTTTTTTTTCTCGATATTTTGATTGCTTAGCGAGAAATTACGTTTAGCTAAATAACATATCACAATTTAAAAATTCGTTTAGAAAAATTATTAAATTATCGAGAAAAAAACCGACGTATACGAAAACGTAATCTGAAAATGTTCTTACCTTTTGATAAAAATAATGACTATTTAAACTGACAGCATAAAGTTAATTGTGTGTTTGTCTAAGACGAGGACTACGACGCATGCGGATATCAAATTCGCTCTTATTCCTTTTTTTTTATTTCACAGTAAAAGTTATTAAATTATAATTCTACTATCTACTCGCATATTCTATATAAGTTTTGTGTATATCTGCGGATTTTATTGTAGTAGTTGTTCTTTATACACGGTATAAAAAAATTATTTAACAAAATTTAAACATTTTAATTCTACTGGATATTTTGATCAATCAACTAATTAGTTAATTAATTAACCCACCTTCCCAAATTCTCATCTACTACAGTGGCCACTCCCATCTTCAGTATCAACTCTTTCTTTTTTTTATTTGTAATAATTATTGGACAACTGCGCTATAAATGTTATATTATATATTTTATTTTATTTCAACACAACAAAAATAAAAAATTTAGATTTTTCATTAATTTTTTTTTATATAATCTAAGATAGATATTTTATATATTAATTTGTATCCATGTTATGTTCGTCAATTTTGCTATTCGATTCTGTGCAATTTCTGATGTGAACCTAACGAATGATTTGAAAACAGTAAAAAGAAAATCATCATTAGTTAAGAAAACTTCCAACGGATTTAAAAAATTTAAGTTTACAAATGAATCGCATTTACGTAAGTTTAAAACAACATTATTTTAGTTTGCGGCCTTAAGATAAATTGACTGTTTCGGTATAATATAGTTTCTTAACTAATCTCAGAAGAAATTTCCTGAATTCGGCGAATTCTTCGTTTTCTTATTTAATATTAACCAAATAAAAAAATGTTATGATCCATTATAGAATTTAAGAAAATACATGAATCAACAAATGAGCCCAGTTCAGATGCGTCTAGCGCAGATGTGTTAATGTCCGAAAAACTTCTGCAAGCGGCCATTGGTAAATAATTGAATTTACAAACTAAAATTTACCGATTCTCTCAATATTGAGATACTGATTAAAAATCTGCAAAAAACTGCTCAAAAACGTTAAAAAAAATCACATAAAAATATTTAAAAAGCAAAAATGGTAAAAGGGTTTAAACGTCCCGCCTCTAACGGCTTTAACTTATTAAATATAATTTTCTAACACCACACAAATAATTAACCCAAAATTATTTTTAATTTTTTTTTAATATATGCAATAATATTTAAACAAAATAATTTTTTGTTAATAATTTGTGTCGTGTTAGAAAACTAATTTAATTATTTAGAGTCGTTCGACTTGGGAAGTTTAAACCCTTTTACTATGAGATTTAATAATATGTACTTGAAATGTTTTGTATGCTTTGTTTCGAGACTTTTTTTTAACCTTTTTAAGTTTTTTTTTTTTTTGTGAATTTTAAGTGCAATAAGTTCCGAGTCCTACTTACTATTGATATAGTACCAGCTGCTTCATGTTAACTAAATTACTATTGATAATATTGTAAACGATTAAATTTCAGATAGCATTTTATTAAAAGAACCAAACGTTTCGGAGACCGAAACCTCACAAGTGTTTTTTTACGGGTTTACTCGAGAAGTTGAGAATAAAAATGAAGATATTATTTAGTCCTGAAAATATTTAAGGTAATAAAACAAACAGCGATTCATTAGATTTAGTATGTACATTTAGCCAGAATCTATTTGTATAACTTTTCTACTGTACATCAGTGGAAAAGCTTTTTTTTAAATGACTCGCTCGCCACCTATTGTAAAATCCAGAAACTAAAGATAAAATTACTTAGGCTATTATTATGGATATATTTGCTTGTACCTTTACAGTATAAACTATATGTCCGTCAATTTTTTTGGTTATTTTATTTTATTTTGCGTCTATGTATTTTTCCATAATATTCTTAAATAGTATTATGGTAATATTNTGAACGTAAGTGGGACTGACAAAAAAAAGCTCTTAGTGATCGGAAAAAGTAAAAATCCACGTTGTTTTCTTCACAAATTTCTTTACAAAAATTACCAGTTGAGTATCACTCAAATAAAAATGCATGGATGACTTCGACCATTTTTATCGAATGGTTGCAACGTTGGAATACGGAGTTGGACAAAACAAAAAAGGCTATATGCCTCATCTTAGACAACTGTACTGCCCATCCTAATGTATCTTTGAAAAACATCAAACTTGAATTTTTACCTCCTAATTCAACGTCACTAATTCAGCCTTTAGATATGGGTGTTATCCAAAATTTAAAGGTTAAGTATAGAGCAACACTGGTCAATTACATTTTAGAAAAGATTGAAGACAATTTACTTGAACCACAATCAACGGCAATAGATATCAGTAAAAAAATTAATATCCTGCAAGCAATTCAATTCATTTCAGACAGCTGGCGTGATGTAAGCAGTCAGACGATAAAAAATTGTTTTCGCAAGTGTGGTTATCATACCATCGATCAACAATTAGAACCAAATTTCGAAGAACATGATATTATAATAGTACTGTACAACGTAGAATTTGAACATCTGGATTCAAATGTGCAATGCTATGACCAAAACGAAAACGTTGATGATGCAATTATACAATCCATACAAGATAAACATGATTCGGATGAAGATACAGACGAGGAACCAGATCCACCAATTTGACTACAGGAGGCAAAGAAATGTTTGGAAACATTGAGACTATTTTTTCTTCAACAAGAAAATGAGGAAAGCCCCATAAATGCTTTGGATGCTTGTTCGGACTACATTCGTCAACAATCAATAATACGCAAGAAACAAAGTAATATTCATAGTTTTTTTAAATAACATAAAATACAATGCACATTATATATGTACTTTATATTAATTATGTATGTATGTATTTTTATAAATAACTAAATTATAATACCGTGTTTTTCTTTTTGTAATGTAATAAAAAATTTAAATAAAGTCAATAGTAAAACAATTTCAAAAAATGTATATGTAATTTTTGTATTTCGGATTATTGGGACAACCGCTTTATTGGGACAAAATAAAATGCAACCGATGTGTCCCAATAAAGCGGATTCGACTGTATATGCAATAATATTTAAACAAAATAATTTTTTGTTAATAATTAGTGTCGTGTTAGAAAACTAATTTTATTATTTAGAGTCGTTCGACTTTGGAAATTTAAACCCTTCTACTATGTGGTTTAATAATATGTACTTGAAATGTTTTGTATACTTTGTTTCGAGACTTTTTTTTAACCTTTTTAAGTTTTTTGTTTTTTTTTTGTGAATTTTAAGTGCAATAAGTTCCGAGTCCTACTTACTATAGTACCAGCTGCTTCATGTTAACTAAATTACTATTGATAATATTGTAAACGATTAAATTTCAGATAGCATTTTATTAAAAGAACCAGACGTTTCGGAGACCGAAACCTCACAAGTGTTTTTTTACGGGTTTACTCGAGAAGTTGAGAATAAAAATAAAGATATTATTAATAGTCCTGAAAATATTAAAGGTAATAAAACAAACAGCGATTCATTAGATTTAGTATGTACATTTAGCCAGAATCTATTNTTACTATTGATAATATTTTAAACCATTAAATTGCAGATAGCATTTTACTAAAGGAACCAGACGTTTCTGAGACCGAAACGTCACAAGTGTTTTTTTACGGGTTTCCTCGAGAAGTTGAGAAGAAAAATGAAGACATTATTAGTAGTCCTGAAAATATTAAAGGTAATAAAACAAACAGCGATTCATTAGATTTAGTATGTACATTTAGCCAGAATCTATTTGTATAACTTTTCTACTGTACATCAGTGGAAAAGCTTTTTTTTAAATGACTCGCTCGCCACCTATTGTAAAATCCAGAAACTAAAGATAAAATTACTTAGGCTATTATTATGGATATATTTGCTTGTACCTTTACAGTATAAACTATATGTCCGTCAATTTTTTTGGTTATTTTATTTTATTTTGCGTCTATGTATTTTTCCATAATATTCTTAAATAGTATTATGGTAATATTAATAAATTATAAAATGGGGATGTAAATAATATTCATGTCGGTATTTTATATTTATTTATAGTCTTAAATATTAGAAGCCGCCAAGCTATGTTAAGTTAATTGTATTCAATTATCACACTTATCAAATATAAACAATTTCTATACTAAAGAATTTTAACAATTACTAAACCTCTTTTTGATATCACAACTATTCTAAGGTGAATTTTTTTTTCTTACCGA